GTCAACTCAGATAAAAACATACTCTTGGGATAATGCCCAGGTTATCCTGGCTGGAAACAAATGTGACATGGAAGACGAACGGGTTGTCTCAACTGAGAGAGGCCAACGCTTAGGAGAACAGCTCGGTAAGACACAAGTCACAAGGAAAGAATGTTTGGTGTATGTCATGCTGATTGGAGTCATAGGGGTGTGTTGTGGGAGGGTGTTTGGTGTGGTGTGTGAGTGTGTGTGTGAGTGGTGTGTATGTGTGTGTGTGAGTGTGATGTATGTGTGAGTGTGGTATGTGTGGTGTGTGTGTGCATGCATGTGAGTGGTATGGTATGTGTGTGCAAGTGTATGGTGTGAATGTGTTGCGTGTGTGCATGTGTATGTTGTGTGTGTTGTGTTGTGTGTGTGTACATGTGTGTGGTGTATGTGTGGAGTGGGGGTGTGTGGTATGTGTATATGTGTTATATGTGTATGTGTGTGGTATGTATGTCATATGTGTGCATGTGTATGTTGTGTGTGGTGTGTTGTGTGTGCGTGCATGTGTGTGGTATATGTGTGGAGTGTGGGTGTGTGGTATGTGTATGTGTGTTATATGTGTATGATATGTGTGTGGTATGTGTGTCATATGTGTGCATCTGTATGTTGTGTGTGGTATGTTGTGTGTGTATGCATGTGTGTGGTATATGTGTGGAGTGTGAAGTGTGGGTGTGTGGTATGTGTATGTGTGTTATATGTGTGTGATATGTGTGTGGTATGTGTGTCATTTGTGTGTGGTATGTGAGTGTGTATAGTTTGTCAAGAGACCTTGACAAACAACAGGCCTTCTGCAAGCCCTGAGTATTTGCTCTCATTTCCTATGGCACTGGCTGAGTTCAGGCACAATTAGAAACAAAAGTCATGTCAAGAACCTTAGTGTGAGCTTAAAAAACTCCCAAGTATTTCATGAGGACCACAGGCCTGCCCTCCTCATTCCCTTATTGCGTTCTGTGCTTGCCCACACACATCTTTCTGTGTTGAGTTGAGTACTTCATTGTGATCACTGTTGCTTTCAGGTTCCTGTTAAGGATGGTAACGGCAAAGAACAGGTTCTAGTCTAGATTCTGGACTTCAGGGCATCAATGACAAGCCACGGTACTGTTAAAGAAAAGTTCTTAGGGGCCAAGTTCATCTCTTGAGAATGTATCTGGTAAACAAAAAGCCCTTTGAGATAACGTCCAATGAGATGGCATAGTAGAGTTGTAGAAACAGTATGGTCATTTCAAACACAAAATCTACCTGAAGATGAAAAGTTCACAGTGAGTCAGGGGAGTTTCAGGAAAGACCAGTGGTGGACTGAGTCAAGACAGTTCACTCAACACCGCTTAGGTGGCATGCGTCAGACATTATAGAGGAAGCAAATAACAACAATAACACGTGATCATGTGGAAAGATTAAGGGTACATATAATACAGTAAAACTAATGAGGAAACAAAAACAGGTCGGTGAGGAGTTCATGACGTAGAGAGCAGAGAGAAGAGGAGAGCAACAGGGAAGAAGTAGGCAGAGGCAGGTAGAGAGAGAAGGAGGGGCTGGGAGAACGAGAGGGGCAGGATACCCAAGGAGAGATGGAGCCAACAGTGATGATGGGTAGGGCTGGACAGTACAGCTTAGAGGAGGCAACTGATGTGAGAAGATGGGTTACATAACAAGATACTTCGTGCGGCTCCTTTCTCTGTCCCTGTGTTTATCATCTAACTAGGCATATCCACCTGGAAGGAGAAAGGCTCCACAGAAGCAGGCTATCTTTATAAGGAAAGCTAAAAAACTGTTTGGCTCCATGAAAGACTGAGTACCATCAAGAACAATTCAATGTCATTGTCAAAAAGAGCCAGGTGATAGCTTTATTGTTTTAACAACCTAATAAACAACTTGGCTGTTGATAAGATCAGAATAATGAATGTATTTCTGGAGATACTTTACCTCTCTCTCTCTCTCTCTCTCTCTCTCTCTCTCTCTCTCTCTCTCTCTCTCCCTCTCTCCCTCCCTCCCTCCCTCCACCCTCCCTCCCTCCCTCCCTCCCTCCACATATCTGTGTGTCTGTGTGTCTGTGTG